CTAATACTACTTCTATTTCAGTCTTTATTATAACTAAAAATAATATATAAATTAATAATATAACTTTATTTCCGAGTATTAAAGTCTGTTTCTAACTAAGATCTAACTTATATTATCTTAGTATAATTTTTCTTATTTTATTTTCTCTACTTCTTTTTTTTTATAATTAGCCTCTATTTCTATTATTCCTATATATTATACTAGTAATTATATCTTATAGCTAACTCGTATCTAAATTACTAAATATATTAGAAATTAATATAAAATATTAAAATTAATACTTATATATTCTTAATATTTTAGCCTTAGGCTCAAGGTATTATAATAGCCCTTTTCTTCTCTAACTTACTAAACTAATAATTCGCTTTATAGATATCTCTTAGAATTTTATAAAAGTATTACCTTAACTATAAAGTTTCTATTCTCCCTATATTACTTATTATAAAATATATAAGAAGGAAACTATAATAAGACAAAAACTTATATAAAGTATACTAGAATATAAAATGTAACTTAATAGTAAAATAATAAATTAAAAGCATAAATAGTAAAGTATAAATAGTATATAATATATAAAAGCTTAATTAATTAAATACTTATAAAGAATTATTCTCTAAGTCTATAGAAAAACCAGCTTTCTTATATGATTTCTGCAAGTTATATATAAAAGGCTGTAGCCTTTGCCATGTAACCTAAACCGCCAAAACCGCCAAAACAACATGATTTTTGACGAGTACGGCCTGCCGTATTACAGTATCCAAGAACTCAAATATCTCATATACTATAGCGGTATCTAGATTAATTCCATGTCTCTATTTCATTACTATTTCCTTGAAATTATTAGTTCCTACGGGTATGAAGTAATCGGATTAGACAGATCCGATAAAGGAATCGTCTGCTATAGTGAATTCCGCTATTATATATTCTGTGGGCTTGTACTTAGTTCAAGGTATAGTGATTTATAAGGAGAGTAGATTCGTAAAAAGGAGGGTGGTTCGTAAGGTAGGTAGGTGGGAGTTATCATATTCGAGGTAAAATTTCGCCCATAACGAGAAATTTAGGAAGTGAAATTCAAGGAGTGAAATATCGAGATTCCGGGAGGACTTAATGGTTCTGAAGCTCAAGAGCCCCAGGTATTCAGGTAGTTGCAAAGAGAGTGATTTTTCGTAAAGAAAGTAGTTTTATAAGACAATTAGATAGTCAAATAGTTAACCGTTTGGTAATTGGCAAGAATTAGTATCTTTCCTCCCTATAGAACCGAATTATAGGCAAAGGCGACTATTATTTCCCTCCTTTAATATAGCTTAGTCAGGCCTTAGCAAGTGCAGCTTAATCCTTCTTACTATCTGATCTATATATATAAACTAATTAGTATTGGTTTACTAGTAATGCATAATACTATTATATAGGCATGGAAGTACTATTTGCATAAGGTTAGTAAAGTTATTATTATCCAGAAGTAAGAATTATAGTATTATAGTATTAATATATGATCCCTAAATCTACTAAGCCTAAAGGAGTCTAGTTTACTAGTCGAGTCACTAATTGGACGCGAGGTTACATAACTATATCCCGTATTCTATATCCCATTACTCATATCTCATTGCCTATATCCCGTGTCCCGTATCCCGTAACTATATATATAACTCCCAAAGAAATAGCTATACTAATAATTATAGAAATAATAAAAAATAGCTTTATAAAATTATTTATATATTAAGAAATAGAAAATTATCTAATATAAAAAAAATTATATATTATAGTAATTAGATTATTTTAATATCTAGTATTCTAAATTATTTAAGATTCTATTATATTAGAAAAGTAATTATTAATAAAATTAGTTCTATTTTCAAGAATATAAAATCCAAAAAAAAAAAATATTAGAACTTATTAAAAGCTATTTATTAAAATAGATCTAAAAAGTAGTTATTAAAAGATATAAGTATTAGAAATAAGCTAGCTAAATTTTTTTTAAAAAAAGCTAAAATATTACTAGATATTATAAGAAGTTAGCTAATACTAGATTATATAGAAATAATAAAACAAATAATAAAAATAGAGGCTTATAAACTAGATTTAGTATTATTAGGTCTATAAATATAATATTAATTATAAAACTTAATAGTAAATCTATAAAAGTATTTTTTAGGATTTTAGGTTATATTTAGATAAATATTTTATTATAAAGTTATATATTTCAAAAAATTAATTAAAGTTAGTTTAGATATTATAATTAAAATTTTAAAAGAAATTAAAGAATATGAAATATAGAATTAGTTATATAAATAGCTAGAAAGTAATTCCTATAAATAAATAATAAAGAAATTAGAAAAGAAAATATATATTTTATATATCTAAACTAACTAATTCTTTCTAAAATTATTTATAATTCAAGCTATTATCTCTAATATAAAAAAAGCCTTTTAGGAGAATTAGTAATATTATAAGTTAGAAAATCTAATTATTTTATAATATCTAAGCTCGGAAATTAAAATTAGATTAAAAGATTTTATTTAGAATACTTTCTTTTATAATAGCTATTTTATATTTCTTATATAAAATAACTAATTTAGCTAAAACTAGAAATACTATAATATATATAAATATATAAAAAAGTATTATTATTTATTCTAATATTTAAAAGCTTTAAAATATTAAAATTAATATTATAAGAAAATAAGGCTTAGTAATACTAATTAAGTATTACTAATAAAAAGTATTTATTAAGATTTATAAAAATTAGTATATAAAATAAGCTAAATAACTAAAAAAAATATATATAAATCTTATTTTAATATTTATAATTCTTAAGAATTCTATTATAGAAATTTATATTTATAGATTAATTATATTATTTAATTTCTTATTTCGGATATTAATAAAAAAAGAAAAGCTTTCTTAAAATATAATTTTAGTATATAGGATTTATTTTAATTATATATATATTTTATAAATTAGTATATTTAAAGACCTTATTTCTAATTCTAGATATAAAATACTAATAATATAATCTAATTTTATAAGTTCCAAAAATTATATTATTTTTTATTTACTAGTTCTATAAAATAATTTTATAAATAAATATTAGCTAAATTATATATATATACTAGAATAAGATTTCAAATAGCTTTAATTAAAAAAAAGTAATATAATAAGTAATATAAGAAAGCCTAATTTATATATTACTAAAATAATTAGGAAATCTCTAGTTCCTATTATTAGAATTTAATATACTAATTCTTAGTACTTTTCTTGAAATAGAAATAGTTTTAGATATAAAAAATAAAAGAAATAAAAGTATATCTTTATAATAAGAGAAAGCTTATTACTTTTATTAGCCTAAAAAATATATAGAAATATAATCTAATTAGATATAAGTTATAAGATATTATTATATTATTAAATAAGATATATAATTTAATATACTAATATAAATCCAAATAATAATCCGAGAATAAATATTAATATATATATAAATATTAATATTAAACGGAAATAGCTTATTATATTTATTAATTAACTAAATATAATTTGGGTCAGATATAATATATTTTTCCTTATTTAATTATTTTTTATTTATTTATTAAATAATAGTTTCGGAATTAAGAATATATAATATTATAAATAGGATATCTTTATATAGAATCTAATTAATTAAATTATAAGAAATTAATAAAAAATAAAAGAAAAAAAAGATATTAAATAATTAATTAGCTATTTTTTCGGAAATAGTTATATAAAAGCCTTTGCCTATAGCTTTTAATTTAGCTATTATTAAGCTCTTTTTATAGAATTTTAAATAATTAAATAATTAAACTTTTCTTTTTCTTTCTTTAAATATATTTATTTACTATAGAAGCTTAATTTTCTTCTATAAATATATTAATATTATATTTGTAATATTAAAGCTTAATAACTATCTTATTATTAATATAACTTATTCTAAATAATATAGTAATCTGAATATATAGATTTAATATATCTTAAATAATTATATATTTATAAATATTTTAGAATTATAATTATTAATAAATTGTTTTTTTAAAACTATCTAACTAAAGATAGTTTTAATATTTTAGGCGATTTCTTTAGTTATATAGTAGGCCTATATCTAGCTAATAATATAAGTTCGGATTAGATTTAGATCTATTTTTAGGTAAAGTATTTTAATTGATTTATAAAGGGTTATAGTTATTTTAATAATTTTTATAATTTTTATAGTATTATTAATAAGGGAAATATAAAATTATAATTTCTGGAAATAATTAAAATTAGGCAAAGCTTATTAAAAAGCGCTAAATTACTATAATAACCGAGTAATTTTTAGTATATTAACTTCTTTAAACTTTGTAAATAATAAATAGTTAATATTAAAGTATATTTATTACTAATAATAATAGCAAGTAATATATATAATTAATTCTCGATTTATAATTAAACCTTAATACTATTAGTTCACCGCCAAATAGCTGGAAAACTTGCATCTCAAATTTGAAATCTGCAGCTGGTGGTCGAGGTGGTACTTGTAAGGAACGATTTTCACGCTGCTCGGCAATAGAGAAAACGGTTTCGAACCCTGATGGTACTGTGCGAATGAGGGCGATCCTGAAATCGGGTTCGTGCTCCAGTCTAGACGAACTACAAGCACAATGCTTGAATCGTCGATACGGTGAAGGAAGCCTCCTACGCTCATTCCTGGTGGAACGATGCCCAAAAATCTATTGTCAGTCCAAAAGATCAAGCCTTCCAGAGAGTGCGAAGAATGGGAAACTCTTCGGTCCGCGTTGAGACCAGACCCCATTGAATGATCAACGTTTCTCAGCCTTTCCGTAACAAGAGTTTTCGAGAAGGGGCCCACGATCTTCAGAACATTGTAGAGCGTCGACGAAGGGAGCCTCTCCCGCAGGATTCGAATGATCTTCCGTGAATCACCTTTTTTGGGGGGAAAAAATTGTCTGAAAACATGTTTCAAGCCAGGATTCTCGATCTCAAAGGGGTCAACGCACTGAGGGCAATTTAACCATAAACCGAAACCGATAATTCCCATACACCTTGTGGTCCGAGTCCTCCTTAACCCACTCCCTCAGATCAATATCCAAATCTTGTAGAGTCTGAAACCCATACTTCCGATAAAGCGGAAATCCCTATTTTACCAATATCAACATCTCTCACCCCTTATATCTAATATCAATCAATTCAAAAAATAGCACTTACAACAGGACTAGCCAACAAAAAAATGGGCAAACGCTTTCTATCCGCAATATCATTCTCGCACCCCACCAACGCCTTCCCCATCCCCTGTCCCTGAAACTCAGGCAACACAAAGCAAGCCTTACATCTCATATACCTCTCCCCTTTCGTCCACTCCACTAACATCTTATCTACTTCTTGCTGCACGTAGCCATCCAACCTTTTAGCATACTCTTCCCCCACTTTTACAGTCTCAGAAACTGTGACCCAGCTTGCCCATGCTGCTATGGTGTTAGTTTCTTTGTCGACGGCTTTGATGTGAAGCCATGCGGGGTCCCCGAGCTGAGTTTGTAGGAGGGTGGTTATGGATTGCGTGCAGAGGGTGGGAGTGGGGTAGTTGAGTTTTAGGGCGTTGTCGAGGAGGGTGACGAGGGTCTAGATTTGTGCTAGCTGGGGAATATCTTGACGCTCTACTGGAACGAGAGAGAAAGTTGGTGGTTGGGACATGGTGATCTTGTGGGACATGATGATCTTGTGGGACAGCGGGAGGTTGTGATTTAAGAGGTGGGGAGATAGATGATGTGACGATTGACATGCATAGGGCTCAATGAAGACTGGTGAGTCATCCCGGAATATTAGCCTGGATTCAGTCAATGAACTGGCATTTGATTAGTTTGTGGCTGAAGAGTATACAATGGCCTGATATAAAATTCCATTCATTTGAGTGAAAAAGTAGAGACAGATGTCATTGTCTCAAATCCAAGAAGGAACTCTAGTATTTCCCACAGTACCTGCTTTAAAACGTTCATTTTAGTTGAAATAACGAAGGAGATTCTTAGAAAGCCCCTATTGCTTGCTGTCCTCAAAAGTCATATCCTAGATGTCGCCAACTTAGGCTGCCAATTTCAAAAAGTGTGTGAGACTTTCTTAAAGAGTTGACCACCATTGAAAGTTCGCAATAGGCATGCTATCAAGATAGTCACCATAAGTACTATACCAAAAATTAGCAACTCTTCTCAAACAGCAATTTCATGGGAAGAGGACACGTACCCAGAACAGATACAATACAATGGCTCCACGGTACAGCTTCAAGCCAAGCACCAAATACCTTTAAATCGGACAGTAATGCCATCAAAATTTCCTCTTCCTTTTTCAAAACTGGTTCCGATAAAAATTCGTTAGTGAGTTCATACTGATTACCCAAATCTTCTGACGTGACCGATTCCTCAATCATCGTGATTCGGCTCTCTCCCCGGCTTTCCCGTTCCAGTTCCTCGAGATTCCTATCAAGTAATTGTAGAATAGCGTCCTGGTTCTCGAAGTCCCAGAACTCTATTAGTTCTCGAAGCGAGACTTTCCTTCCTTTCTGGGCAATGAAGTCATATGAACCCTCACGGATATAAAAGCTTGCGTTGAGTCCATCCTCTGGATTTAGGCGGGAGCCTTTGAGACATCTTCCAACATATTCCGCATGGATATAGTCTCTTTTATTGGCCCCTTCGTGGATCAGAAAAGATAGGCGCGGATCTGCCCCGTATTGGAAAAATGTTTCGAGCGTTTTGCCGAACGCCCTTCGTTGCTCCGATTCACTATTATAGAGTCGAAATTGAAGACTTCTGAGAATGAAATGTACCCAAAAGGTCATTTCATCCAGGTTTGCTAAAGAATTTGTGGCACAACCCTTATGGATCATAGCTTGAGGAGAAAGGCCTCGCTGCAAGAGAAGATCTAGAGGCTCGAATGACTTGTAAGAGCTGCCGTAATATTGGCTATAATAAATACAGCACAGTAGGACCGCAATTTGGTAATCGGAGCTAAGAGTGTTCTTTCCATGCTTCATCTTCCATATCACGTATTTGTAATCTCCACGAACTGCCGAAGCATAGAGTGGGGATGTAATGTATCGAGAAGAATGAATACCAGAAGGGATAGATCCAATTACCAGGTTCCCTATATCATCTACACGAAGCAACCCTGGGAAATTTAGGGCTCTAGGATCCTCTGGCACTTCGTGGAGCGTGATAGCAGAGGAGAGATATTCGAGGAAAAGGAATGGCTGTCTTTCGATCTTGCTGTCGTATCTCATTTTTACTATCCGGCACATGGTAAGGCTCATTTTTCTTCTCTGAATGCTGCGGGGAGCCGCTGACCGTATTTCAGCAAGCAGGAGCTGAGAAATCGCTTCCACAGCGATAAAATCCTTAACAGGTTCATGTCATCTTCGATGTTTGTCGTTGACAGAAATTCGGGGATAGAGCGATGAATAAATGTAAGACAGGGTGTCTCATCTCCAGGGTTGTTCCTCTTAAATTCTAAGAGGCCTCTGCAATACCCGTTGATACTTTTGTACGCCAGAACTGCTCTCTCGTTTCTAGCTGCCGCTTCCGTGATGTAGTAAGGGAAATCTGGTACCATAGCAAAAGCCTTGTTCTCATAATAATTCTCCAGAAAGGAACATGCCAACGGCGACAAATAACCCGTGGCACATGGATTTCCTTCTGTAATCACTGCAAACAACTGATAAGTTCTTTTGCGAGCTGATTTGTCCAATGACCGGAGGAGGTGTGTAAATAAACCTTCTAATTCATCAGGCAGCGAGTCGAGCTCGCTTTTAAGTACGAGGAGCTCATGACTAGCTTCCAGACGGTCCCGAAGTGTTTTGACTACCAAAGCTACCCAGAGGAAAATACCATCCCCTTTGTCAACGATTGCTTGGATGAGTGTTTCGGAATCTTCTCTTTTATCGATTTGTAGCTTCTCTCGCACGTAGCGCTCCATATCTCTCCTGGTGAGGTCTTGAAGCCGAATCCTTCTCTCACTAGAAAAGGCATTGAGAAAAACATTATATTCCCTGCTAGATACGCAGAGTTTCACATTGCCTCGGGATTTTTTCGTCCAATCCGAAAGGATTTTGACGATTTCTGTGTAGTCTTCTGAACGTGTTTCCTCGTATTCGTCAAGGCCGTCGATGAAGTAGCAGAAACAATGCTTTTCGTACAGGTTTTGATTTTCTCTTAATCTAGTGAAAGCTGCCTTGATATCCTTAGTTCCAAGTTGAAGTTGGGTTTGAACTTGCCATGGCATTGACTTTGCTTCGTTCCATTGATCCAGTAGCAACATAGGTATGAGTTCAGGACACGAGTTCAACACGTCATGAAGGAGGGACCGATAGAGACCACTTAGAGATTTTTGCAGTAGAGTGCCTGGCTTCCAGAAGAAAAAGCTGGCAAAGACAAGCTTCCGATCACCTAGAGTTTGTTAGATCAATCAGAATAATGGAAGAGGAGGGGACATTTGTAGCGGCCATCTGGTCCGATAGCATAAGTAAACGTACTTGCCCATTGTTGCAGCCCTCCCCTGGTTCGGTCATGCTCACATAGAAACTTCATCAAAGTTGATTTCCCTGACCCTAATTTGCCAGAAATGTGGAAGATATCTCGTCCCAAAGACAGCCAGTGCTTGAATAACTCTGAACTAGATCGTCTAAGGTCATCGCCCTCATCGCTATCACTGTCTTCATTGATTTTATCACTCTCATTGCTTTCATAGTCTTCACCGCCGTCAGATTCGAAAATCCATTCAAAAGTCTTGTAGTGAGCATCGTCTACAGCCTCAAACCTTCCATGCATGCCCTCGAAAGCCAGGCTGTTCAGAATCCGCTGTTGTACAATGGTTTGACATGCATCTTCCGAGATGTCCAACAGCTCCCGGAGCTGCGTTTGAACTTCGTGGCGATGGAAATAACCGTAACCCCTTTTTGAAGTGCTTCGATGTGGGTCTGGAGTTGTTCAAGTTTGACGCCAGCTCCATCGGAGGTGCTGACTAGAGCCTTCAACCGAGCCTTTGTGTCCGAACTACAGAGATGTTAGTCTCCACTTGACATGGAACGAGGGAGTGTAACCTTGTTAAAACGTTGAGATGCAGCTCAAGTTGACTGCGGCAATTGACGAGCCTCTGCTCCAGCTCCGACCTTTCCTTCTCGCGAAACTTATTCTTCACAGCCGCCAGAGCAACTTGATGTTTTGATTTAGAATTCTTGGGATTGATCTTGCCTAGCAGTTCGAGGATCTGGTCTGATATGATGTTGCATTCGGCTGCGACGCGACTCACAGCCTTTTCATCGTCGCTTCTTGGGGTGCCCGTGGTAGGAAGGAGCTTCGAGGAGAGCTCCTTCATTTGGATCACGATAGATTGGAGGCTCCTGTGTTCTTCGGTCATACCAGAGGCCGAGCTATAGATTTCTCGTGCTCCATTGATAACCTTCGTGCTGTAGTCTACCAATTGTATGATATTCGCGGCAAGGCCAAGTGCTGTCAAGGGATCCATTGCGGTGGGCGCTGTTGCTGCGGAACCGTGTATACAAGAAGTGGGTGTTGGGAGCCGAAGATTGCGGTGAGCAAAGATGGTGAGACTGGTGATGTTGGTAGAAGACGGGAGGAGGCATTTGTGATGTTGTTTCTGGGCGCAGCTGCAGCCTTGGGAATAGTCTTCCGTGAGCCGCCCTGCAGGAGCTGTATGCAGGTCGGCAGCCCAGCCAATCGACCAGAGAGCAGAGTAAAAATGCAATACGTTGAATTATTATCGGGAAACTAGACAGAGCGCTAGTTCTGGGAGTTCTAAAGCTTATTTCTCTACTAATATTAGGACCTTAATAGGCTAGGGGCACCCCGTTCGGCGCCTTTGGCGCCTCACAGGAGCGTATACACACGTATACCTTAAGTGTATTGAATTGAAGCTTGATTGTGGTATTTTTCTTTGGAAGCTCAGCTTCCTTAAAACTCTGGAATTACGACTCCACTTAAAAGTGGGACATATGGTATATAGCCCCTGATTTTTAACAAAGTACAGAAAGCGCACGTATATCCTTGAGGATATACTTCCTAAGCGATTACAAGTAAGGGACAGAGGGACGTGCGTCTTGCCCACCTTTTATGCGCGTACCGTGGGCTAAAGAATAGCCGAAAAAGAAAGCCTTATTTTACGATAAAATTATAAAAATTAGCTTGCGAAGTGCGGGGGAAGGGGGCTAGAAGGGAATTCAATTCTCAATTGCATAAGCACCCGTTCTAGGGTTTACCCAGAGAGGGTGCTTATGCATTCTAATCAGAGTTGCCCTCCTGTCATTTCCCCTTTGGGCGTACAACCCATGTTTTAGGAATGCTACGCGAGCAAAACAGGGGTGTTGCAGGGGTTGGCAGGGGCACACTGATTTTCTTTCCAAAAAGCCAAAGAAATAAGAGAAGCTTCCTGATGAGGTAACATGAAGGGTTATGCAAATGGGCTTAGCGCTGTGTAACCTGAGACTGCCCTATCCCCCCCCTGTGTGGACTTGGCCTGTTCTCTGACACCAGATTCAACGCTGTATACTTGATCAAGACAGAGGCCTAAAGTTCTCCGAGAATTTAATTATAGCTCAGTGTGACTATGTTTCCGTATACGAAGTAAGCCAAGAAGCTTCAACCCTGACACATCGAAATCCTCAATCTCGTCAACGAGCCAGTAGCTGAACCATAGTATCGCTTAAGTTGAACCATATTATCAGTAGCGAGAATACCCTTGTATTTTCCATAATATGGTTCAACTTCCCTCACCAAAAACCACACTGTACTCACTATCTTTAATGATATATAGATACCAGTCCTCGTTCACACCCTCCATCCAACCCCGACCTCCTCCCGACGGCCCGCCAGGCATACTCCTAGCATATGCTTTACCTTTACTACTAAGGAGCAGCATATAAGTAAGTTAGAATACATCTTGCTTTATTATTATTATTACTCAAGCATATGCTCGGTAAATTAAACCCATATGCTTAGCATATACTTTACTTTACTACTAAGAAGCATACAAGCAAGCTAGAAATCACCCTACTTTATTACTATCCGTAATATATGCTCGGCATATGGAATCCATATGCCTAGCATATGCTAACCCTAACCCGTAGAGCCTTTACGCTTTAATATATCCCAATGCGGGGGGCTCTCACCGCCCCCTAACCCCCCGGACTAACCCAGACCCTAACCCCCGACCCTAAGCCCCCTCGCAAGCTCGGGACTAACCCGAACCTTCCCAGCCCGTATAGCTTATAGCCTATATATATGCAGAGTATAAGGAAAGCATATGCCTAAAATATAATGGCCACAAAACCTATTCATTTGCTCGGCTAGCTGCCTCGCTTCCTTAAGCGATACTATGGTTCAACTAAAACCCCCTCGTCAACAAGATTGCCCGGAGATAAATCGAACTCAGGTTAGATTCCGACTCTGAGGTGAAAGGGGTCCAAATTCGAGGAGAACCTCTCCTAAATCATAAATTATTATTCGGGCCCGAGTCCGACTTAGTGAAGAAGTGCTGCATTAAAGTTATGAATCGGACTCGACAATTTTGATCGTCAAGTCCAAACCGCATTTTCCAACTCCCCTTAACCCATCGATGCTAGTGTCTACCCCCTGTACACTAAAATCCCTCCACTCGCAACCCTACCGGCTTTACTAAACGCTTATACCAATCCCTTCTAAGCTAATCTTTCTTCGCGCATAAATACCCGCATGAGCATGAGTCAAATCACCCTCTTCACTTACCCTCCACACGCATCTACCATAGCCCTCCTTCTACCCCAAACACTAACCCTCTCCTCCAGTCAAAGCCGCCTCCGTATAGCACTCTCCCGTCCTGACTTTGAACTCACTCCCCAAATAGCGAGGCCATTTCCAGACTTCACCGCTGCACAGCTAAAAGGAGACTCAACTTGTATAATTACTAGTTGGAATTGAGGAGGATAGGATTGTTGGGAGTGGCAAGTTGTGAAGAGTTTGATGGGAAAGGAAAAGAGATTTTTGAAGAAAGGAATGGTACTCCTTGGCGCGTGGCCAAAGTTACGATTAAGCTCAGGAGGTTTCCGTTCCATAGAAATCTCCACCTTCCTCTTACTTGCTGAGCTTGGAATCGAAGAAAGGTATAGAAGTGCAACGTTTTGGTATTGGTATATGAACGAATTTTGGCCCCCTTTTCTCCTCCTTATAAGTAATTTTATACTAGGATACTGAAATGAGCATTTTCCATTTCTGTCCTAAGACTTGAGTATTGCTATTTGATTTGAGCTAGGTGAGTAAACCTGATCTAGTCTAAGCAAGTGAGTCCCAGAGCCGAGCTACAATGAGTAGGAGCGTGAACTAGTGAGCAAAGGGCCTGTTTTAACTTCTCTGCAACAACTATTATTGCAAGTTAAAAATTAGAAAACGTTTTAAAGATTCTTATAGGGTCCTATTTTAGATCCCTTTAGTCTAGTCGCAAATGAGTGCAGCATTATAGCTTAGCATACCAGGAATTAGGGAGTGAATTAGAGATATAATATGGTATAATTAGGCTTGGCAGAAATATCTAATTTCCGGTATTAATACGTATCAATGCCAGAATTATAAGGTATTAATACTATTAATACCGTATTAATTCTTAGTAATACTTTGCCCTATTTCTAAGGCCCTAGCTAATTTTGGTACTATTATCTGAACTATACTAAATAACTACGTGAATTATAGCTTTATATAATATAATATAGCTTAATCTAAGTTATTTATACTCCCATTTTTAATTTTCGATAATCCAGATACCTTTAAAATAAGCTCTTAGCTCCTAATCCTCTCTCTTATTTATATATACTTTCCATATATAGTACTAGACTTTAAGTTTAAGCCTTAAGCGAGAATCGCGATTTTAATAGCCAGAAACCCACTCATATAATTATTAACTACTATATTAAAAACTGGCCTATTCTAATACAAAATTAATAAAAATTATTATAAAGGGTATATATATAATCCTGCTAACTTAAAATATTAATCTGCCTCCCCTAATACTTCATATACTACCTATCTGCCATAATATAGGCCTTAATCCGGGCCGGTATACTCTTTACTAGTTAATTAAAAAAACTATTAGGGAGAGCTTCCCAGGCTTTCTTTAATACCTCCTCTAGCTTCTTCCGATCCTCCTCCGACTTTCCCATAGCAGATATTAGATTAGGAAATATCTTTTATATTATCTTTTTAAGTACCTATTATATATACTCGATCGGGTTAAGGTCGGGGGAGTAGGGAGGCTAATTGGTAGTATCTATACTATTCTCTTTAAACTATTACTTGACCTTCTTTACTATATGGATCGGGGTATTATCTTATATAAAAATAAGGCCGTTATAGTAGCTATCTAGGAGCCTATTCTCAAGGACTTTAATATAGGAGTTTGCGGTATACCCAAACTTGGCCGATTCAAAGTCCCGGAATAGAATAAAGAGAGAATACCTCTTCCCTTTACCCCAAAAGGATACCCAAACTATTATATATATCTGCTTTCTAGCCTTATAAGTTATAACTATCTCGGGCTTCTATTTATCTTCCGGTATACCCTAATACCACTTTTGCTTAATCCTACTATCCCGCTCTATAGAATACTCGTTACTTTACTAGTATATCCTCTATTACTCGATATCCTAATACCTCCGAACTTTGTACTAGAGAAGCCTTATAATAGTATATATAGGCTTAAGCTCTGGCCTTTTCTTTATATACTAGTAATAAAGATTATTTGTATATATAAGGTTCTTAATATAGGTATTACTTATTATAAGGCCTATATCCTTATAATATTACTGGAATATTAACTTTGGATAAGAGCGGAGGTTCTTGAGTATTATTTAATGATCTCGATTACTATAGAGAAGAGGACGGCCTTTACGAGACATAGAGAAGCTATTAGTATATAGGGTTTCAAGAATAAGTATACCCCTAATAGTACCGTATAAGTACTTTATTAATAGCTCGATTTTATACGGTAATATACCGGTAATACAAGCGCCCTTAATCCTTTTCCTTTAGTAAGAAGTAAGCTCAGGGCTTCTACCGTATTAATTACTATTAATATTATATAAAGGCATATATTATAGTAGTATAATTAATATTCTGGATAAAAGAATAAATAGACGGGAATGCGAAAAATCGCGGTTTTGTCTATTTTGGCTAAAACTTAGTATGTATTACTATACTCTCTATTTTACCTACTTATATACCCATATATATATATATATAATAATTAAGATAGTAGCTTAAGCTTAGTAAGATCTAGTAATCTGAACTTGTCTTAATAGCTATAATAACGTATATTACTTCTTTTATATAAGAAGTAATAAACTAGAGCTATCTATTATTACTAGTAGCCCTTAATAGCAAAATACCTTTAATATTACTAATCTTGCCTTTTTAGATATTATAATTAAGGGTCCCTATACTTCTAATATCTTTAATATCCCGCTTCTTCCTGAGATTATTAATATAATCTTGACTTAATAAGTATAAGTTACTTCTTTATACTTTATATAATCTATACTAAGTAATATAGTAGCCAAGTTAATATCCGTACTTCTTATACTATTTACTAAAATAGTTAAGGCATTTTTAAGAAGTACTTAAGAATTCCTAGAGAAAAGTAGTATAGAATATATAGTAACTATATTTATTATAGTTATATAACCTATTATAGTATATGAGATATTAATAATAATAGAGAAAAGAGTAATAATAGAAAATAACCCAAACCCCCTCAAATTATATAAAGTGGCCGGGTTTTAAAGCCTGGATATTACCCTAGCTAGAGTATTTCTTCTATTATAAATAAATAAATAGGACTACTTTCTTTATATTATATAATTGCCTGGCTTTTATATAATACCTAATAGACTATATTAAGCTCTTAATATTTGCCCTTTTTTGATTTTTCCCTAGCTAGTTTTAAGAAAAGTATTTAGAATTCTATTCTTTTTCTAATACTTTAAGTATTCTCGTATCTTAATAGTCTCTGCCTCTATTTTTGCTCTATCCTAGCCTACTATATATTAATTTCCTGAAAATACTTTCTCTGGCTTATTACTTATTAGTAAATAAAGAGAATATTAATAGCTATAAAAAAGAGCCTTAGCTAGTATTACCTCTATATATTCTAATATTACTAAGTAAGGGCCCTCTATTTATTAGGATTATATAATACTAGTAAGTTATAGTTCTTAAACTCGTCTTAATTTATAGGCCGAGCTACTACCCGAAAAGATATAGAAATTTAATTAAAAGTATCTAATTCTAATATCTTATAAGATAAGCTATTATATGAAAAAGCTAGAGAAATAGATATAATTATAGCCCTTTCTTTATATTTCTCTCAGAGCTTTTTAATCTTAACTAGAACTAGTTTAGACTATTTCTTTAGCTAATATATCTTAATATATCTTATATAATTATAAGGATTTAAAATTAATATAGTAATATAAACTAGAGATATATTAGTCTTTATATAATAATTATTTAGAACCTTATATACTACCTTAATTTAGTAAAGAAAGTCTTTTTTCTCTGGATTTCTACTTTTCTAATATTTGGCCTATTAGAATTAGTATAGTTATATAATAGAAAAAGAAAACTTATATTCTTTTCTTAGAAATATTTAATTAAAATATCTATTATAAAAAGAATAGAATTAAGAAAAGTCGAGTTCTTAATAATAAGAATAGCTTATATAAAAAAAGCAAGGAATTCCTTAATTATATAAAGCTTTTTCTAATTTTTAGGAATTAAGATATTCTTCTTAAGCTTCTTCTTATAATCTTAATAATATCTTTCTATTATAGGCTATAAGTTAAATAATATAAGAAATATCTTATACTAGCTATTTTATCTTATATAATTATTTATTAGAATTAGCCTTCCTATAAGTATACGGAACTTCTTTATTCTTCTAGCTAATTTATAAATATAAACTATAATATTATATACTTAGCTAAGAGAACCTATTAGCCTGAATTAGGCCCTTATTACTTCTATTATATTAAAGGCTTTAGCTTACTCTTGCTTATTATATAAATCAAGCTTTTCTAAGCTAACCTAATTCATAAATAAGAAAGCTTATATAATTAGATTAATAATATGGCCTAGATAGTAAATATACTAGTAATCTGCTTCCTAATTCAAGCCAAGTATATTTTTTAGTTTCTTTTAAATCATATAATAAAGAATATTATTTATAGAAGTATTATTACTTATAATAGCTTTAAGCTTATTAATAATACCGTAATTTTAAAAAACTAGCCAAAAAACTACTATTTGAGCCTCTGAGCTATGGCCAGAAACCTTCTTTAAAGCAAAAAGGGCCTTTTATTACTTTCTATTATATATAGTAAAGTGGCTATAGATTATAAATAAAAGCTATTAATTTAGAGAAGTCCAGATATTAAGAGAGATATAGATAAGTAAGAATATAGCCTGGAGTATTTATTATATAATATTCTAATATTTTCCCTAAGCTTCTTTAATTAAGCTAGTAATTCCTGAATAAGAAATCGTAATTTTGCCTATAATAGCTTGGTTTAGTAATTAGTAAAAGATATAGAACTCTGGCTATTTAATAAAAGCATAAGACAAATTCCGTATAATAATAAGAGAAATTAAAGCTTTAGTAATAATTAAGCTATTAAGACAGGCTTCCAGGATCTCGGTATTAAGCTCCTCTCTCTTACTCGTTCTAGTAGCTTATTAGTAATATTACTTTAATTATAAATTAACCGCTACTTGGTTCTTGCTCAAAACCTTCTTAATAATAATCTAGTAATGGCCTTTTAAGTACTTCTTTATATTCTAAGTAATAGAAGTACTATATGGCGATTTTTCTGAATTAGTATAATGAGTATAATAAAGATAAGCTTGGTTCTCCTCCTTAGTAGGAGAATAATAGTACTCCTAAGCAGGAGATCTCCATTTTATATAATTCTGGGAAGTCGAAATTAATTCTACTAAAGCGGAAGCTAAAAAGGAAGAGTCTAGTTTAGATAGAGAAGACATTTTGAGAGTGTGATCTAAATAAAATCGTAATATGAGGTGAGAGAAGCAAAGAGAGTAAAAATTAAAGGATGCGGGGTAGAAAGTAGTATAAGAATCGATTCGGTATTAATACGTATTAATATTAGTAATACCTGAGTAATACCATCCAGTATTAATACCGTATTAATGCCTCAGGTATCATTGCCAAGCCTGGGTATAATTCAAGGTATAAACTACTAGTATTAAATTAATAATAGGAATAATAGTTTGGTTTGGTATCTAAAACAGCAAAGCAGTTATTTTTGAACTAGAGCAAAGCAATGAGATTCTGTAGTGTTCGGTTGTATTAAGGAGTATTTGACTTTCTGAAGCTCTATACCTTATATATTAACGCTAGCGCCTCTATTAAGGAGCAGCTCTTTTCGTGGCCTTTTCCTAATACCGCCTGGAGCCTGGTGCCATAGTATCCACCTTGCGCGTTAATATTAGCTAGCTCCTCTATTAAGGAGTAGCTCAATAATCCTATCGTGGCCTCCTATTGATGCCGCCTGGAGCGGGGTGCCGAACATTCCACCTTGCGCGTTGACGTCTGCTCTAGCCTTAAATAATAAGAGATCTGCAATCTCAGCCAGTCCACTCAACGACGCTATGTAAAGTGGAGCTGGAACTTCTGCTAATGTCCTATCAAAATCTGGTCCTTCCCAATCCCAATCTAGATCATATATCCGACTCCAATTTAGGTAGGCACCATTCTCGGTCGAGAAAAGCTCCATGATCAGGCGATTCAAATCTTCGGCGTTCTGCGTTGCCGCTTGCGTATGCGTGATCCAGAACCTTGCTGCATATAGAGCAAGCTTTGACTCCTGGATCGTGGCGTCAAGGAAGGGACCTGATCCTTGAAATCGGAGAAGATAGCTAATACAGCCCATTGCAATAAATTTATTGCAAGCAATGCCTTGTATACTATATTGCGCTGCTCTGCTGTGAAGAATCTTCTCCGTGGTAAGATACTCCTTAACCGAATAATGAGCTAGGGTAACGATTCTTTTGGTTGATAAATATCCCTCGGTTACGGTGATAGTGACAAGACTAGAGCATATACTTAAAACCTCCAATGGATCTTCAAGTACTTCGTCGTTATTAAACGCAGGATTGCGCTCAACATCAATGGCAATGACTTCAGCAATTTCTTCGATCAGGAGCGGCCGACGGCAGAATGCAAGCCATCGCAGAATACGAATGGCATAGTCAGAGTCGTCCTCGTTGATAGCGCAAAGAATTCGTTCGTAGGTCTCACCCAGCGTCTGTGGGAGTGTTTTCAAGGCTTTTCGCAACGCCATTCGATTACGGCACTTCCTCAACGTCTCTATTTGACACGTAGTCCATCGAAACCTGTCCGTATTCTTAGTGTAAGACTTGAAAACTAATGGGAGTGTAAGCATACATCCCGTGGGCTCCCTTTATCAATGCAGACTCGATTTCTTCCCTGATAGTAGGGTCTTTCTGCCATTTACTCAAGCTTTTGTCAGTGGACAATGTGTGGCGGACATATGTGAGTATGTCCCTGTCGACAAGCTCGCTTTCAAGGCAGATGGTGTTCTGCGTATCTATGATACTCTCCAGTGACCTCTGGATATCGTGTTCTTTTCGGCTTGTGACGAGGAGATGCGATTCGTCAAGCTTCCACCCAGCCATTCGCTCGAGGATAGCCGTCAGCTCGGCACGATCGGTACACTCATCTAGAGCATCAAGAATAATATATGACTGTGGGAATTCTTGAATTGTGTGACGAAGTACCTCTAGAAGAGAATCTAGTGGCGGTTGTCGTTGTCCATTCTCGCAGGATGAAAATAGATGTTCGAGGGACGTAGGTATCTTGACACATTGCTGAGAGAGCCCACAAATTAACGACCGGACCATTGAATCCGGGGAACGCTTCTCTGTGTCGTTGAAGTCGAAGTAAAAGTAGGCAAATACCCCCCCCAGGGTCGTCGGCACAGTACTGTAAGACATTTTCGAGTATAACGGAGCTCAGGATTGTTTTGCCACATCCTGGAATCCCGTGCAGCCAGAGGAATGATGCGGGGTCTGTTTTCCACGCGGCATACTCGCCACTCTCGAGAAACCAGGAACCGGTACCGATTTGGCGCAATTTAAGTGCTTTCTGGTAGTTGTGGGATGGATTTGGCGGTGAGAGCCACTGACGAATTTTAGTGAGCTTTGCATCTGAGACTAGAGGTTAGCAAAGATGCTATGTATACTCTCGAAAGTGTACTACCTGTTAAAGGCTGTAATCTCGATGATATGGATGCATAGTAGAATGTGAGGGTTCCAACATAAGACCGAAGGGTCTTCGTTATTTTCTCGATTTTCGCCTCTTGTTGGAGGCTCAAAATCGCTTTCTTGCCTTTTATCAGCCTGGAGTCAGTCGATACTGGTAGCACTTTGGCTAGTATATGGTCAAGCAATCCAATTTGTTCCGCGCAGCCTTTGATAGCAGGATCAAGAGCATTTTTTGTTTCATTCCTAACTGAGCCGGCCTCTATCGCTTCTCTAGTCTGCTGAAGTGTGTCTTGTAACACTGGTAGCTCTGCTTTAATGTGCCGGAAGGACATGGGAATCTCCCCAAGGTCAGCCTGGAACTCTTCGAGGCGATGCAAGACCCTTGAGCTGAAATCGACGAGCTGAACTATGCTGGCGACAAGGCCAATGACGCGATGGCTTCCGCCATTAGATTGTGATGACTCGTTTGTGCAGTGTTCAATCACAGAGTAGTAGGAAAGGAGGTTCTGTCGTCGAAAGAAGAGGCGTTGGCGGGAGAAGTAATAGGAAAGGATTGAGGCGCACCATCATCAAGCAAAGCGGCTGGATGAGGGCTGTGTTCAAGCAGGTGCACGTGGCTTTGCAAAGCCACCGTGACTCGCCAGACTCTCTCCCGGTGGGCACAAAAACCGGGACTAATTAGCCGAGAACATCAAAGCATCGCAAGGTACCTACTAAAGTATAGGCAAGTTACTCTGTACACTAAAACACATAATAGTCGGACTAAATAGACCGGCAAGGCCCAGCCAGTAACTCTCTCTGAAAAAGTCGACTTTACAAATTTAATAATACACCCTACACAGTGTTAAAATTTTGAATATTAGTGTTCCCGCAGAAGCTAGCCCGGGCGCGGCATAGGCAAAAGCTAGGAGCAGAAGGAAGGCCGTGCGCAAAGAATTTCTGGAGTGCGGAAAGGAGAGCCTGACCATGCAAGCGACTGCATCACCGTGATATCGTGACAGGGTGCAAAGGGTGGCGGTGTTCCAGACCAACAAACAACAAAATGACAGAACCAAACCCAACACGCATCCTCCTCCTCGGCGCAACAGGCTACATGTACCTCCCCCCCTCCCCGTCTTCCCCATCAAATCACTAACTTTCCAAGCGGCGGTTCAATCCTCACCCACCTAATCAACCATCCCATCGCCGACACCCTCTCCATCACCGCCCTCGTCCGGAAACCATACCAAGCATCCATCCTCAAAGACGCAGGCGTCATCCCCCTTCTATTCAAAGATCTAGATGATTACGAGACTATCTATGACGCTGCCAGGGAGGCCGATGGTACATCTTCACTGTTTTCTGCATATTACGGAGCTGATGTTGTGAAGTCGTCATAGCCGCTGCGTCGGCGAGACATGAAGGAAGCGCGAAAGCCTGTCTTGAAGGCCTTTCCGAACGCTCTAAAACGACTGGACAGCCAGCGCATTATGTCCATGTAAGTGCCTTCATCATCCACTTCCCGGGTCCGAGTATTAATGCAGTGAGAGGAAGACCTCTGGCGCAAGTATAATCGGCGACTGGCCTGTGACTGGCACTCGCGTTGATGAGAAAACGTATTCTGATGTTAGCGATGATGTTTTTGAGCTCGAGAAGATGTTTGAGAGGGAAGAGGCGGGGTGGAGTCCTGTGAGGAGTGTTAATCAACTTGTTGTTGAGAGTGGGGAGAGGCTGGGTGTTAAGACGTATATTGTTGTGCCGCCGCTTATCTGTACGTTACTCTTCCTCTTCCCATTTATGACTATGGATTCTGGGCCGGTTGGGGGAGGTGAGGCTGATGAGTACAGTCGGGCCAGGAACTGGCTCTTTCACGCTCGGCTTTGGGCAGGTGCACATGATGGTGCAAGCAGCGCTGAAGAGGAAACAGGCTGTCATGGTTGGTGCAGGTTCTGGAGTGGGTCTATCTCAATGAGAATGATAGATGCACGTGATGCTAATGTTTCTATCAGGTCTGGAGCAGGATACACATCCTGGACCTCACATCCCTCTACTTTCTCCTCACCCAAGCTATCCTGGATAAGAAACCGGATCTTCGGAGTGGAAAGAAAGGCTTTTATTTTGTAGAGAATGGGACATCAAGCTGGAAAGGTATTGCGGAGAGGATTAGCGTTGTTGGGAAGAAAATTGGCGCTTTTGAGAGTGAGGAGGTGGGGAAGATGAGTCTGGGCGAGGCGAAGGAGGAGTTCGGGTATGGGAGTGAGAGGGATGCAGAGGGGGTTGTGGGGTCGAGGTAAGTTTTTACTTCCCAGTTCTAGGATTTGCGGGGGAGCTAAGAAGGCGAAGTGCGAGAATCAAGGCGGACAAGGCGAGACAGCTCCTAGGGTGGAGCCCAACGCGTGGAGAGGGGGAATTCTTGGAGGAGATTGAGGATGTTGTTACTGCGATGTTTCAGCAGGGAGAGGCAGAATAGGGATCAGAGAAGCCAGGCTGGGATATAGTATGCGTGAGGTATATGCAGGTAACAGGGAATTGAATAAGAAGAGGAGACGAGCCACGAAGTGGCTTTACAAGGAGAGTGTACCACGTGATGATATGATTAAGGGGCAACCTGCAAGAGAACATTTCTCAACCCTAACAACAAACAAATGCGGCAGTGTTCCTTTTCCCGTTAAGTCGTTAACTTAAATAATCATCCATCTAATCGAGTGCCTCACCCAGTAGTTGACTCGATCCACCATACCATCTCGTTCCTGCTCCGGCCCTAGGAGCTAGGAGAGCATGCCACGGACATGGTACGTCTCGGCATGGCAAGCCCAAACAACACGCAGAGTGGACTGCTATTCCGGGTATACTCTATTTCTTCTTTATCCCAAGACGATAAGTCCCATTTAGAAGGAAGCGTGGGGTAGGAACGATGGAAGAGAGGAGAGTCGACTCGGAAATCGAATACATGTTATCAATATCAAATTATCAATCAGTCTCGAACCCCTCACCTGCCTGCTTGGCTTTAGGCAGCTTTTCCTGAATACTGATAGATGATTACAGTCCTCCTCTCTTGCATATACTCCCACCCCCCGGCCAACCTCCCCCAATCCGTGTTGGTTCTCTCACCTCGCGCTCTTCCTGCGCCACAAAAGGTATCTCTTGTGTTGAAGGAATGCTGGAATCGCCAAGTTGCAGTAGAACAGCATGTTTATAATCAAGCAGGCGTGTTTTAAGCTATTTAGTGATCTCGACAAAGCATTTGGGTAGGGTCAGGGAAGACCTCGTATTGTGTTGGGGTGGAATTGGATAAGCCACCTAGCTTCCTTTAGCTATGTCCTTTGAAGTCTTTGTCGCTGACATAATTCAATCTCCGCCCTGTAGTCGAACTACTCGACATTACAGTTACGGGCTTGGTGAGTATCCGGTGGCATCGGGTCAACGTCAATCCAATCAAAACTTACTTGAGCTCCGATCCATTGCCACCCAACTATCCGCGTCTCCCGAAAATCCGCGAAATATTATTTGCAGAGAATCGATGCAAGTCACGTGCAAGTCACGTGAATGTAGAAAATCAATGTTTATTTAATTATTAATAAATAAATAAGGTACCTATTAAGCAGCACTATATAATTTAAGCTTGAGCTTATATAAGGCTACTTAAATACTACTTTTCTTCTATAAAAAACAGATTTTCCTCCTCGGAATCTTTCTTTTCCTTCTTTTTTTCTTCTCTTTTTACTTCTTCTAATTCGTCTTTAAATAACCCCCAGCTTTTTAAGCAAGATATTATCTTAAAAGTACTTTTATTAAGTCTATTACGTAATTTAGACATAATAAGAGCACCTTGAGAAAAGAATCTCTTACTAGCAGCCGAGGAAGCGGGGATTCCTAGATATTTCCTAGCTATTAAAGCTAAAATAGGAAATCTAGCGGTATTAGACTTCCAATAATCTAAGGGCTTAGTCTATATATATATTAGTACTAATTTATGAAAAAATATTAAGAGAATATTAGATAATTATTATAATAAAATTTAAGTAAAATTTGCTTACTTTCCTATCTTTTCTCCTTTCTTCTAAATAAGTTACTAATTTGTCTTCTATATTAGAAGACTTATTAGTAATATATATATCATCTTTGTCTTCGTCTTCGTCGGAATCGGCCATATTAATATCCAAGGAATCGGATCTAGCTTGAGATAAATTATAATCGAATTTATATCTAAATAAAATTAGTTATTAATTAATTCATTAAAAAGTAATTAAAGAAATTACTTATATATTATAATTAGTCTTTAATCTATTATATATATCCAAAGACATACCGCTAGATAAGCTAATAGTAGTTAATCCTTCTTATTTAATTCGAGGATTAAGAATAAGAGCTAAATATAAAGCTTTGCTTTTATTATCTAAAATGCCTGTTTTAGGATAATATTTTCGAAGCTTAGCTATTTCCTTATTAATTATATCTGTAAACGCTTTATTTCATTAAATATTAGTATAATATTAATAATAATATAAGAAGAGTTTAAGAAAAAACTTACTTTAAATTCCTTTTTGAAATTTTCTAGTTTATTATATATTTTATATACTTTAGGTATAATATAATATATAGTAGGGTAGTTTTCGGCTTGTAATTTGGTAATAGCTTTAATAAATATTGAAATTATATTTAAAATATTATTTAAATAAGTAATTTCAATATTAGTTAAAACTAGACTTTTATTTTTAAAAGCCTTTAAATTAGAGCTATTAATAACTACTTTAATAGCTTTATATATATATAAAAAGTTCTTTAATATATAATAAGTTAAAGACTACTATGTTTTTTGATCTATAAATAATTAGTATTAATTAATAATTAAAAAATTAAAAAAATTAATTACTTACTAAGTTAAGGAAATCGAGCATTTTCTATATTAAAAGCTTTAATTTGAGCTTCTAATAGCTATTAGTTTTCTTAGTTATATTTAAGACCTATAATAGTCTTTCTAACCTTTTTCCAAATTAATAAATCTAAAATTTATTAATAAACCTCTTATAAATTATATAGGAAACTTACTTATTACTTGTTTTCCTTCTTTTTCTTCTCTATCTTCAAGTTCTTTTATTTCTTACTCGTATAAATCTATAGAATAAGAAGTATTATAATTATTCTTAATAAGAGCTTTTAAAATATCTTAAATTACTAGATTTAATATATAAGTTATATAAGAGATATCTCCTTAAAATTTAATGCCTTTCTTATTATAATACTTTATAAAAGCCTTTAATAAGGTATTATTTAAACTAGTATTATCTCGAGTAATACTAAATAATATATATTAGTAATTATTTAATAATTATTTTAAATTACTTATCTAGTAATATTATATTTAATATTATATTATTTTAAAGCTTCTAATAAAATAGAAAATATATAAATACTAAAGTAAATATTACTTAAATCTTTTATAGCTAATAAATAAGATTTTAATTTAAAATCCTTATTTATAAAGTATCTAATAATATATTAGTATAAATTTTATTTAATAATTATAAGAATATATAAACTTATATAGTAATTTCAAGAAATATCTTTTAATTTATACTTATTTAAGTATCTAAAATAATAGAAAAGGTTTCTTGAGAATTAATATTCTCTTATAATTCTTCTTTAATATTTAAACTCTTTTTTATATAGCTTAAATTAAGCTTATTCTTAAGTATTTATTAGTTTACTAGGTGTGACGGCAGGAACAAAGCAATGGAACGATGCTCAAAGATCAATGATTTCCAATGTCCTACAGAATCTAAAGCTAAGGAGAGAAGGAGTGAGGTGTGGCAGTGGATAAGTAGGTATGGCCAAAACCACTGAAACGCCGAGCTTTGGAAGCGAGCTTGGTTTGAACCATAGCTTGGAACCTTAGCTGAAACCAACCCCTTTGGCTGAAACCAACCATGTGACACCAGCCGTCACACTAGGAATACATGGCACTATTATATAGGCATAGAAGTACTATTTATATAAGGTTAGTAAAGTTATTATTTAGAAATAGGAATTATAGTATTATGGTATTAATATATAATCCCTAAATCTGCTAAGCCTAAAGAGGTCTAGTCTACTAGTCGAGTTACTAATGGGACGCGAGGTCACATGACCATGTCCCGTATCCCATGTCCCATTACCTATTACCCATATCCCGTATCCCGTATCCCGTAACTATATATGTGACTTTCAGAGAAATAGTTATACTAATACTAGAAACTCTCTAAAAACGCAAAAAACAGTATCTCCCTCTAATTACATACGAATTCCCTAATCCGGCCTAGTACCAGATTTCCCAAATACTCTATATATCTATATTACTTCTGATATTTTGGTTACATACCAAAGGCCGTGGCCTTTTATACGTAACTTCCCCTCCTATAATATCCTTCTATCCTATATATCCATTTTTTGCCCTATCCGCACTCGACCTATTCCTCTATATCTAATTATATAGTATTCGTATTAATTAGGTATTTAAGGGCATTTATTAGCTTCGATTTCATTATGAAATCGGCAGGATTTAATTCTCTCTTAATTTACTTAACTTCTATAATTTCTTATTATTTATATACCTAGCAAAGGCATATTATATTAATTATTAGGCGTTTCTCTCGAGTAATATCTAATTTAACGAGGCATTTATATAATGACTTCAAATCCATATAAATAACTAGTAATAGTTCCATTTCTAGTACTTTATTAATTATAGATTTAACTAAAGCGCCTATATTAAAACCATAAGCCATACTATAAAGTTCCAAAGCTAGAATACTTCTAATAACTCTGTTGCATTTAGTAAAGAACTAGTAAATAATATTAGTATATCTAGTTCTATTTACTAGAACTAGAATATATCCGATTTAGGAGAAGAGATCTCTATTATTTACAAATAAAGCATTTATAAAAATAATTAAATATAAGAACTTCTTTACTAGCTTTACGAATCTCAGTTCTCTAGTAATATTCTCAATTTACTATTAAATATACTTATTAAGTATTTTTATATTAGTTTCTGAGGATTTAATAACTTAAGTAGTAATTAATAGGTTATATAAAGCTTCTAGTTAATAGACTAATATAATATATACTCCTCTTATATATTAGGTAATATATTAGTCCTTAATAAAGAGATTTTAATAAATAGTACCCCTATTACTTATAGTAGTAGTATTCTTTATAAAAACGGTTTAGAGATTCTTATATTAGTATTCCTATATAAGAATAATTCTAGTAATATTTATATAAATAATATCTTTATTAAATTTGAAATCATAGTTAAAAATAAGGGATTTGTATTCCTTAGCTAAGAACTTAGCCTTATAGAGCTTTAGTTACTTTATTTTTACAAAATTATTAGTTCCGACAAATAGGGTATTATTAGTTTAAAAGCTAATAATTCCAAAGAATTACTTACTATAGAGTAGGTAAGAATTATAAGTTAACTATTCTATAGAGAGCTTATTAATATAATAGGAATAGTAAGTCTTAAACTAGTAATTTCTAGCTTCCCGTATATTATATAATAGTTTTATAACCTTTAAAACAGAATTATTCTTTAGATTTAGCTCTTTAGTAAGCTTATAGGGTGAATTAATATAGAAATTGCAATTAAGTAAAGTTATTAATTAGATATAAACTTACGAGATATTATATAAATATAATTCCGTAATATC